GAGCAGTTCATTTCTTCAGAGTCAGACACAGCTCACTGTAGAGCCCAGCTCTGCCGCTCTGTGGCAGTGGCCCCGGGGGCATGCTACTTTATCCCCATCCGGCAGTTCTGAAATGGGAATAACAGTCTCCACCTACCTCCCTCGTAAGATTCTCGTGAAGCTTAAAAAAGATAGTGTACATAAACCTCGAGGGAGAATCCAGTGTCGTAAACCCTTCCCGCTCTCACCCTAGACTTCCCCCTTATATCCCGATGTTCCCATAAGTCTCCCGGCTGTATGGATCCGAGATTTCTGGGGCAGTTGCACAATAACAGAGATTTTAGGTCAACAAGAGCTGTGTGGGAAGCAGAAGAAGGGCTGCTTTGTTTGTATTCTCATGTCAGGTGCAGTGGGAAAGGTATTTCCAAATCATCTTAATGACTTCCCAAGACTTTTTCCAGTTGCCCAAGCCAGAAATCTGGGAGTCATCCTTGATTTCTCCTTCTCTCTCACCTCCCACACGTATATTTCTAAGTTCTGTTACTTCTCCTTAAGACACTCTGAATCCTCTGGGTCTCCCCATCTCCCTCCATTATTTTACTTGAATCCCCCATCTCTGTTCCCTGGAAAACCACCATGGCTTCCTGACTGGCCTTCAGTACTGGCCTTCTACGTCATCCAGCAGATAGAGCCCTTTCTAAATGCAAGTCTCAGCGAGTTGCTCCCCCATTTAAGATCACTTATTGATGGCTCGGCTACTTCCAAGAGGAAGTCATAACTCCTGAGTGTGTCTCACTTCCTGTCTGGGCTCCTCCTACTTTTCCGGCGTTTCTCCCACCAGTCCTGTGGCAACGCCCACTCCTCTGTGCACCAGCTCTACTGGACTATTTACGGTTCCACGGAGAAGGCACAGTGGCCAAGGCGTTTCCTGGACATGGGACTTTTAGTGCTAAAACCAGGACAGCCCTGGGCAAACCAGGATCGTGGTCACCCTAGTCCTACCTCAGGCCTCCGTGTATCTTCTTTCTTAATCCCCTTGTCTGTCCCACCCAGTTTACTACTCAATACTTCTCATCCTCGGTTTCTGCTTGGACATCACTTCTGCAGCCACCGCGGAGCGGTATATTTGTCCCTTCTAGGAGCTGTCACAGCAAGCTCTCCTGGCAGCGATCACTGTATTGTAACGGCTGCTCTGTCTCCCTCGCATATATAAACTCATTAAAGACAGGAACAGTTTTTTTCTCCTACCTGTATTCCCAGAGCCTAGTAGAGAGTCCGGCACGCAATAGGTGTTCGATGAAGTTTTCTTGAATGAATGAATATCAATATAAATTTATCAAGTGTCATCTATTTCATATCACTATGGGGGATGTTAGGGACTGAATGTGCCCCCCCCTCCCAAAATTCATATGTTGAAGTCTTAACCCCCAGAGGGGCTGTATTTAGAGATGGGGTCTCTAAGGACGTAATGAAGGTTAAATGAGGTGATAAGGGTGGCACCCTGATCTGATAGGATTAGTGTCCTTATAAGAAGAGACACCAGGAGGGACATCTCTCTTCCTCTCTCCCTTTCCTTCCCCCCCTCTGCAAAGGCACCAAGGAAAGGCCATGTGAGCACACAGTGAAAAAAGACAACCCAAGGAGAGCTCTCATCAAACACTAACCCTGCTGACACCTGGATCTCGGACTTCCAGCCTCCAGAGCTGTGAGAAAATAAATTTCTGTTGTTTAAGCCACCCAGTCTATAGTATTTTATATGGCATCCCAAGCAGACTAACACAGGGGATGTACCTAGTTCACATAACTATGCTGTGACCAATGATGGGTACGGGTCACACAGGTACCATCCGGAGGCAGAGATTTGGTTTCTACTCTGAAACAGCCATAATAATATTTCCCATCCCACGTGTTCTTCCAGAACCTTGCAACTCTCCTCTGTCTACAACCCCTCTGCTTGAAATTGGACAAGCCTCGTGATCACCAGGGGATGATGGAGTGACTTGGAGACTTCCAAGGTGTATGGTCCGGTCACTCAACACGGCCGTTCTCTTGCTCTCTGTACATCCCCTGCCCGACCAGCGCCTGCTTCACCTATATCTCACACCGGTGGCCCCCAACTTTTCTGGCACCAGGGACCAGTTTCACGGAAGACAATTTTTCCACGGATTGGAGGGGGCGGGACGGTGCAGGCAGTAACGCGAGTGACGGGGAGCAATGGGGAGCGGCAGATGAAGCTTCGCTAGCTAGACACTCACCTCCTGCTGTGCGGCCCGTTTCCTAACAGGCGGCAGACTGGTACTGGTCTGTAGCCCGGGGGTTGGGGACCCCTGTCTTCCACACACGACTGACCTTCCTACGTACTTGCCTCTGCCCCAGCTGAAAATTGTTCTTATTAAAGAGTTGGTGAGGGGCGTACCCCTCTGCTAGTTTCCCTGGAAACCGATGAGCCCACCTGACATCAATTCTCCTATAACTGGTAATCTCCACTCCCCCCCGCCCCCCCATCCACCCCGAAAGAAGACTGCCGCCGCATCCTGCCTGCCGTCCACCACACACCGTGAGGTGTTGCTCCAGGACCTTGGTCCAGATGTGTAAGCTCCCCCATCCATTAAACCACTGATGTCTCTGTTGTTGACTTTGGACTCTTTCTTCAGTCTTGAAGTTGGCAAGTACAGGCCTTGCAGGCCTGTGGGGTGCAGCCCAACACAAGGCTAGGATAAAAATGTGATTCAGTTTCCACCTGGCTCTCTTGGGACTTTTGTCCTTAGAACCCACCCCCCATGTGATGAGAATCCCAGCCCACGTGGAGAGGAACAGAGGCCAACCCTCAGCCCTGTGGAGTGCCCAGTGGACGGACAGCCAGGACCAACTTTCCAGCCATGTTCCTGCACTATCTTGGAAGTGGACCTTCCAGCCCTCTGCTGGGGGGAAGATGCCGTGTGGATCAGAGACAAGCTCTCCCCCAGGCCCCTCCCAAACTGCAGATTCAAAAGGAGAATAACAGACAGCTGTAAGCAACTAAGTTTGGGGTCGGTTTGCTTCACAGGAATAGATAACCCAATACAGCTTAAGACAAGATGGAGCCCCTTGTACCGGAGGAGCCCTTCTTTCTCTTGATTATGTCCTTGCCCCAGGATATCCTGGTTTATTCCAGAAAGGGCTGGGGACTTACTCCAGACTGGCCCATTCAGACATAGGCCTCCAACATGACTGGTTCCTGACATATTCACAGGAGTTCACTGGGACAAAGCGGGGCAGAATCCTGGAGCTGCAGGTCCCCCCGCCCCAGCTTACACAGCTGCCCCTGGCTCCTGGGGGCTGACCATGAGGGCTCAGGCCCCAGGAAGAGGAAACCCTAACTGACAGCCATCTGCTTTGCCCATGGGAAAAAGACAAGGTCTCATTCTGGGTGTGTCTTCTTGCTTCTCTGCCTCAGAGCCACATAGCAGCTTCATCCTGGGTGATGCAAACCAATCAATTGTAAGTTGGTCATGTTTTGTCCTCCACCGATTATTCGGGCATCCAAACCACTGTATCTTGGGCCATGCTGCCAGGTCACCATTCTGAACCATTCGAAAATACCTACATTACAGTATATAAAGTAAGAACATAAGTGTTCAGCATGACAAGATTGACAAACATCTTTGTTTTTCTACCATTCTCCTTTACTTACGCAAATAAGTATCCTAGAATGGTCACTTTTGGGACCTGGAAATGGTTACATGAGCAGGTGGTTTAGTTTAGAATGTATGCCTAATATTTTTGCAGTTAAGTAGCATTTTCTGTTTTCCAGTAACTCTTTAAAGCCCATTTACGTTGCCTGAGTATGCATCATAACTCCTCCTTTGGAAATGTCTATGTTTCCACCATCGTGCTGGTGATTCTTCATCGTCCCACTCAAATCCTACCCCTCCCCGCCCACTCCTGGCCACACCTGTCAGCCTGTTCCCTGGCTCAAAGGCTGACACCTATGAGCTGCATCCCCCAGGCTTCTCTGTTCTCTGACTTCCAGGTGGGTTTGACCAAAGGGAAGTGCTGTTGGAGTGTGAAGTGTGGCGAGAGAGAGGGATGGGACTTCTCCCTCCCTCCTTGCTAGGCCCTGGTCTCCATCATGGCTGCGTTCCTCCACCGTCTACCATAGGCTGGGCAGTCCCTCTCACTGGGTTCTAGGAATAGCACCCCCTTTCTCTTTTGCTTCTTCAGGCCAAAGGATGATAAAGGCTTCTGCTGTTGCTAGTTTCCAGGGGCTTCACCATCTCGTCTTGATTCTCTTAACCCTGCCCACAGTGTGGGTTAAGGGCCGAACTGTAACCTCCCCACACCAATTCCTATGTTGAAGTCCTAACCCCCGAGACCTCAGAATGTGACTGTATCTTCAAAGAGGTAATTAAGGTAAAACAAAGTCATATGGGTGGGCCCTAATCCAATCGGACTTGTGTCCTTATAATAAGAGGAGATTAGGACACAGACACACACAGAGGGACGACCGTGTGAGGACACAGGGAGAAGACGGCCACCTGCAAGCCAAGGAGAGAGGCTTCAGGGGAAACCAACCCTGCCCACACCTTGATCTTGGACTTCCCAGCCTCCAGAACTGTAAGAAAATAAACGTCTATTGTTTATAAGCCACTTGTCAATGGTATTTTTGTTATAGCAGCCTGAGTGGAGTCAGATAGCAGTAGTTTGTCACGGCAGCCCTAGAAAAAACACTCCCATCATTAAACTGCTCAAGTAGCCTTGGGAATGGGCTGGCCGTATCCTTCTGGGACCCTGCCTCACACACCCAGTCTCACCAACAGTGCTATCGTATGTCCCTTTATCAACCCCATGGTATCCATCATCACATTTCTATCTCAGTTTGTAAATACATCAACATCTGTGCCATGAATACATTTTACCAAAATACTGTAGGACTCATTTTCACAATAAGGTACCTAAACTGTTTCTAATAAAGGAGCCAAGTAACATCCAACTCTCCATGTAGAGCAGCCTGTCATTTCTAGAAAAATCCTTTCACATTTTTAAATCAACTTTGGCTGGAAGGCCTGGGGTAATGACTGGAGCCCAGAGTGTCTCTGGAGATGCTGCATGAGGGTTTTCGTTGCTGCTTCAGGGGCTGGGAGCCCCACTGGTCGATGTGGAAGCCAAGCGAGATGAGCTGGAATGTGTAGGGGGGTGCTGGGTTCTGCACTTAGGGATACCTAGGGAGGAAAAAGATATCACTAGAGTGAGAGTCGTTAAAACATCCAAAAAAGGTATATAGTTAAAATCATTTAAATGATAAAAAACGATTTTATAAAATCACCGGGCTGGATGGGATGTATTGAGTTTCCCAACTTCCCCCCCCCCCGCCC